GGGGAATCTAGGTGGTGTCCGGCGGATGTGTACAAACAGGATGGGACACCGTGCGACAAAAATGCCTACTGTTATGCAAACAAATGTTCAGCTCACAGTTTCCAATGCGCTGATATCTTTGGCGAAGAAGCCAGAACGGCTCCGTGGCACTGTTTCAAAGCACTGAATATGGCTGGAGATGAATTAGGCAACTGTGGCAGTGACGGAGAAGGAGAAACATTTGTGAAATGCAAGGAGGAAGACGTTCTGTGCGGGAGACTGCACTGCACCAACGTCAGGAGGCAGCTCAACCTGCTGACCTACACCCAGTCGTTGGTCAACGGCGTGTCTTGCTGGAGCACCAAGTACCAACGCAGAAGAGGCACGGAGGACAAAGGAGCCGTGCCAGATGGAACAGTATGCGACAGCAACAAGATATGCATGAACAGGACATGCGTCCCCATCTCCATTTTGAAATCTGCGTGTGACCCAATGGAGAAGTGTCACGGCAGAGGTGTCTGCAACAATCGCGACAACTGCCACTGTCATCGTGGTTGGGCCCCCCCCTTCTGCACGCATTTCGGTTCAGGGGGGAGCATAGATGGCGGGTCCCCCCAGCATGCTTTTACCGCGCTCTTCTTCAGTTTTGCTTTTAAAGTCGTGGTTCCTGTCCTAGTGGTGGGGGTGGCGGTCTTCACCCTCCTTAGCTCCAGACTGAGGTTGCTGCTTAACCGGTGCAGACAGAGAATCTCGTGTTGGCGCTGAGCGAAGAGAGGCACCGCAGGTTTTGCTGGGAGAAGGCCTGGCTTGTGCCAAAATGGGGTGTGTGTGTGTTTGGGTGTGTGTGAGAGGAGGGTCCAAATGGTCGCTTGCGCCCTCTCACTTCCCATTTCCACTGTAGATACTACTTGCAGTGTAAAATATGTCATGTCCTACTTGTTCAAAATAAAAGTTCAGACTCGCCCCGCGTGCAGAAGACGGCCACAGAAGAAATCGTCACAGAGGTTTCATCTCTTGCCAGCTGCGATCCATGCTGGCAACCTCTCCCGATAGCAGGTGCCAACCCCTGGAAACTGCTTTTGTATGAAGTGAATCCAGTCTATGCCCTGTAGGGACCTCCCTTACAGCCACACCAAGAACACAAGCCACCTTTGGCTTCTAGACATGTCTGCAAGGCTTCAGAAATAGCCGGTCCAGTTAATTCCTGAAAGAAACCCAAGGACCACGGCTGTTTGCTCTTGACCAGCTTAAGCCACCACTATTTTCAACACAGGCATCAGCAATATGTTAACAAAATATGGGTCAGGGTACAAGCTTTCATGGGTCACCGCTCACTTCTTCAGATCTGAAGAAGTGAGCAATCTCCTATCCTGATACACAGGGGTCATTCCCTGCAGGAGTGCACAGGAGCGGAGCTCCGGCAGTAAAGAGCCCAGGGGGCGGGCACGTGCAACAAGCCCCACCCCCTGCTCCCAGCAGCCCTCAGTCAGAGCAAGAAGCAGCCAGGTAAGTTGCAGAGCTCCCCCGGCCCCCCGGCCCAAAACAGTCCAGTGGTGCCCTTAAGACCAGGTTTTATTCAGGTACAAGCTCTCCCTCCTCTGCGAGGACAGATCTGCATGTTCCCCCCCCCCCAAATAGCTAGCAATCCAAAAGAGTCCAGTGGAGCCTGAACGGTGGGTGTTGCCTTCTGACACACTTCCGGTGATGTCAGGGGGTGTGGCATATGCAAATGAGTTATGCTAATGAGTTATGCTAATGAGCTCCTGCACCTCTTTTTCTATGAAATGACCCCTGCTGACACATACCTTGTTAGTCGTTAAGGTGCTCCTGGACTCTTGCTGTTTTTTTGCTCTGACAGATAGACGAATAACACGGCTGCCCGTCTTTATGTACCTGCTCAGGAGCGTTCACCTAATCTTTCTTCCTTTGTGCTCAGTTGCCTGTTAAGCATGCAGATGAAGCTACATTAATACTTCCCCCCTGCAAATTTTTATACAGGGTGGCGCTGCTTCTGTAGTCATGGCAAGGGAGAGCTTTATAAGATTTTATAAGGTTTATAAGATTATGCCTGGGATAGAGCAGGTAGAGAAAGAAGTCCTTTTCTCCCTTTCTCACACTACAAGAACTCGTGGGCACTCCATGAAATTGCTGAGCGGTCAGGTTAGAACGGATAAAAGGAAGTCCTTCTTCACCCAAAGAGTGATTAACACATGGAATTCACTGCCACAGGAGGTGGTGGCGGCTACAAGCATGGACGGCTTCAAGAGGGAACTGGATAGGCATATGGAGCAGAGGTCCATCAGTGGCTATTCGCCACAAGGTATAGATAGGAACTCTCAGGCTGGGGCAAGGGATTCTTGGTGCTTGGGGGGGCAAGAGTGGGAGGGCTTCTAGTGTCCTGGCTCCACTGCTGGACCTCCTGATGGCACCTGGTATTTTTGGCCACTGTGTGACAGAATGTTGGACTGGAAGGGCCATTGGCCTCATCCACCATTCGTTTCTCTTATGTCCTTCATATCGAGCAGAGGTCCATCAGTGGCTATTCGCCACAAGGTATAGATAGGAACTCTCAGGCTGGGGCAAGGGATGCTCTGTATTCCTGGTGCTTGGGGGGGCAACAGTGGAAGGGCTTCTAGTGTCCTGGCCCCACTGCTGAACCTCCTGAGGGCCCCTGGTATTTCTGGCCACTGTGTGACACAGAGTGTTGGACGGGATGGGCCATTGGCCTGATCCAACATTGGCTTCTCTTATGTTCCTCTAGGAACTCTCGGTCTGGGGCAAGTGATGCTCTGTCTTCTTGGTGCTTGGGGGGGGGCAGAGTGGGAGGGCTTCTAGTGTCCTGACCCCCCTGGTGGACCTCCTGAGGGCACCTGGTATTTTTGGCCCCTGTGTGACAGAGTGTTGGACTAGATGGGCCATTGGCCTGATCCAACATGCGCTTCTCTTATGTTCTTATGTTAAGAGCAGAGGTCCATCAGTGGCTCTTAGCCACAAGGTACAGATAGGAACTCTTGGTCTGGGGCAAGGGATGCTCTGTACTCTTGGTGCTTGTGGGGGGGGCAACAGTGTGCGGGGGCTTCTAGTGTCCTGGCCCCACTGCTGGACCTCCTGAGGGCACCTGGTATTTCTGGCCACTGTGTGACACAGAGTGTTGGACTGGATGGGCCATGGGCCTGATCCAACATTGGCTTCTCTTATGTTCCTCTAGGAACTCTCGTTCTGGGGCAAGTGATGCTCTGTCTTCTTGGTGCTTGGGGGGGCAGAGTGGGAGGGCTTCTAGTGTCCTGACCCCCCCCCCTGGTGGACCTCCTGAGGGCACCTGGTATTTTTGGCCCCTGTGTAACAGAGTGTTGGACTAGATGGGCCATTGGCCTGATCCAACATGGGCTTCTCTTATGTTCTTATGTTAAGAGCAGAGGTCCATCAGTGGCTCTTAGCCACAAGGTACAGATAGGAACTCTCGTTCTGGGGCAAGTGATGCTCTGTATTCTTGGTGCTTGGGGGGGGGCAACAGTGGGAGGACTTCTAGTGTCCTGGCCCCACTGCTGGACCTCCTGAGGGCACCTGGTCTTTTTGGCCCCTGTGTGACACAGAGTGTTGGACTGGATGGGCCATGGGCCTGATCCAACATGGGCTTCTCTTATGTTTTTATGTGAAGCACTCTGAGCCATGACTCATAAAACCTCCTACCCTGACACACATTTTGTTAGTCTTTTAGGTGCTACTGGATTCTTGCTCTTTCCTGCTGCTACAGACAGACTAACATGGCTACCCATCGTGACCTATAAGCAATGCATCGCCAGCTTTCCCTGGACTGGGACAGTAGGGTGATGTAACACCAGGAAGTAGGCTATGGTTCTGATCCAGTCCACAGAGGGTCACCAGTTGTTCCCTCACTAGGTACACCAATCTCCAGGTGGGTCTTGTAGTTCTCTTGGAATCAGAACCGACCTCCAGACTACAGAGATCAGTTCCCTTGGGGGGGAAATGGCAACTTTGTAGGGCAGGCTCTGTGGTATACCATAGATCCCAGGTGAAATCCCTCCTTCCCACAGGTACCACCTTCAAATCCCCAAGAATTTCCCAGGCTGGAGCTGGCAGCAGTGTTCCCTCTAAGCTGAGGTAGTGTGAGCCAGCTCACTGTTTTTTAGCCTCCGGCTCACACCCTTTTGTCTTGGCTCAGGGAGGATGGCTCCAGAGCAAACTAATTCATGCAGCGGCCAAATCGCTCGCTCACAACTTTAATGCCAGTGGCTCACAAAGGAGAATTTTTGCTCACAGGACTCCACAGCTTAGAGGGAGCATAGGTTGGCGGCCCTCTCCGCCACACCCATGTAACCGTCTGACATACATTTAGGAATGAATCCAATCCACACAGATTACAATTATGCAAATATACAGCCTGATTTTTCTCACTCATGGATCAAACAGCAGAGGACGATCTTGAAACGAGGGGCTGCAGGTCTCCTTACTTTGGCTTTTCAGATGGTTTAGAAGTAAACCCCTCCCTTCCTACTGGAATTTTCTAGTGAGCACCAGCCTCTTGTCCGAGCTACAAGATGACCCCGAGAAATTCTGATACCAACCAGCAGGAGTGTCTGGGGATGGCACAGGACTCCCGGCTGCCCCCTACCAGAGAGGCTGCCTCCACTAACGCTGAGGGAGGCAGGCTCAATACTTTGGTGCCACAGACTTTTCCAATGGTGCCAGTACTCGTTAAGATGGTGTACTTGGTTAAGGCTGGGCCCATAACCTATTGGGGCTACGATGACCATACAACGGGTACTGTGAGCCCAGTACCCGGCTGGTGCTGGCTGCGGCCCAATCTAAGGGCAGCCCCCAAGAGGCGTTGGCACAAGCAGTGGCGGAGGGGGCTGGGGCAGGCCTGGGGGTTGCCAGCTTCCAGCTGGGGCCTGGATCTCTCCTGGAATTACAACTGATCTCCTGGATCTCCAGACGACAGAGATCAGTTCTCCTGGAGAAAGATGGCTTTGGAGGAGGGGCTCTATGGTGTTAATACCGCACTGAGGTTCCTCCCCTCCCGAGGCTCTCCCGCCAAGACTCGAGGAACTTCCCAGCCAGAGTCGGCGGCAACTGTACTTGAAGAGGAGTGGTCCTGGGATAATCAGGGGCAGGCCCAGAGGGCCCGTGGCCGATCCCAGCCAGCCCCAGGGCACAGCCAAAGAGTGGGCGGCTGGAAGGGAAGCCGGCTTCGGCCGGGATAGAAATCTAATAAATCAAATCAAGGCCGGCAGCCTGGCAGAAAGAAAGGGGGAGGAGGGCGCAATCTGCCGTGCCCCAGTAGGGTTGCCAGGTGAGGCTGAAAAGCCGGTAGGGGACTTTCCAGGAGCCTCCGGGAGAGGGGAGGGAAGAAGCATGTTTGGACTCCGGAGGGAGTTCTGGCCGTCACGTTTAAAGGGAGCACGTTCCTTTTAAATGTCTTCTCTCCATTGGAAATAATGGAGAATGGGGGCACCTTCTTTTGGGGCACATAGAATTACACACAATAGAAGCCAGTGTTGGATCAGGCCAATGGCCCATTCAGTCCAACACTCTGTGTCACACAGCGGCTCTTTATCAAGAGAAGCTGTCCTCCTGGGGCAAAGAAGAAATCAAGTGAAGCCACCCCCTTCTCTTCCCATCATGCGGAGGCCTTGGGACACAACTCTGAGGAGCCCAGCGGGGCGGCTGAGGGCTGGCTGGCGGAACTGGAGAGGGGAGAGACAGTAAAGTACTCTTGACCCTCTAAGTCGTGCGCTCCACAC